CATTTGATTGAATATAGTCCCATAAAATTTCGTGTTGAGCGTTTAATATCACCGTTATCCAAATGGGGTTAGCTGTACGAATTTATAGGTGAGGATAACCAGACTGTGAAATCAAATGAGCTACAAGAAGTTGTGGACTCCCCTAATCACGAAAAGCCACCGAGACAAATAATTACAAAAGTACGTGAACATGAATAGTAACCAATTTCCAGTTTGTCAAGTCATCATCAGTACTAATCTTATTCCATCAAGTTACAAATGTGTCGATTGATCCTAGTGACTCAAAATCATGTACATGTTACTTGAACAGATGAAACTAGATTAGTACTAATGACTAGACAAACATGAAATGATTTACTAATCGATGGTCTTTTCCAGTGTAAATATCTATCTAACGAAAGATCAATAATGATCTGAATAGTTCAATGGTAACGTATATAACTGGTACATTTTGGTGAAGTTCGAATCTCATGGAGAGGATCAGTTCCTTCAAGGTTTTTAAGAAAATGTGCTTTGTTGGTAAGTACAAAGTAAAATGGAACCAATCACCTTTAATCAACTAACATTAGCAGTGTTCAATAAACTGTAATGTCAAAATATATTCAAATTGAAAAGCGTAAACATTGTTAATTAAAAATTTTGAAGCATTTGGACCAGGTTTTCTGTTAATACACACAAACAATCGTGCTCATAAAGCTACTAAAACAAAAAGTCTTATGTGATAATTATTTTTTTGTTTTTACATAAATAATAAAACACACAACGAAATACCTTGATGTGAACTGATTTACAAACTGGAACATAACATCATTAAAATGTACACAAGAAAATTGTAAAATACAATTTACCCAGTCAATTATTATTCATAAATCTGACTAACAGTACAATTCAATAACAAATAGGCAAATTATCACATGTATTATTAATTTTTACAGAATTTATTTGATCTATAACTATTTTAATAGCAGACTACCAATTCAGGTAACACTGAGTTTGGTGTAGTTGAACCAATTGTCTTTCGACTGAATAAATTATACATAATCGAGTTCTACTTAAGTTTGAGTAGCTAAGTATCTTTTACAAATAGATCGTATGATTCACACAAGAATACATTAACTTTTTCTAGGCCAATGCAACTGTATCATATTATTTCTATTAACTCTGGAAAAATAATTTTTTAAAGTTGTATGCATTTAAATGAAACAACATATTACGTGAGGTAAGTATTGTGATGATAATGTTGTCTAGAATGACAATGACAGTTTCACAATCATCAATGAAAAGAATTACTGACCTGGAAGTTTTAGTTTTAATTGTTAAAAATGGTACACTAAGTGAGGGATCACGATGACTAGTTGAAGGTAACACACATGCTGTTGGAACAAATGTTTTCAGTGGTTTACTTCCACTGCTAAGCACTGGAGAAATCGAAAATTGTGAAGTAAAAAATGAATAAACGCCGGGTGATGAAAAAGATGTTGTAGGGAAAGTATGATGATAATTTGAAGCATAATAAAAACTGGCTGATGACGATAAAGAATAAAACAAATTATTAAGTTATTTTGGTAATATATGTGGATCTTTCTTGCAAGTTAATAAATTATAGATCATATATTCGCTTTAAGTAAATGTTCTATTTTTATAATTAATAAGTCTTCTAACTGAACTCATGAATCGGTTTCTATTGTAATGGGTGAGACTGTAGGTTTTGATAAGCAGCGTTTTATATCTATCGATCTAGTGACACGTAAACACGTACGAACGACCCAGTGTCCTGATTGGCCCTGCTTCGCGGTCTAGCCCAGTCAGTTGAGTACAGAACGCAAGTCACAGCCGCTGGGTTATGAATCATTGTATTTCAGATACACTCTATTTATATACTAACCAAACATACCATATCGTACCATAAAAATAGAAAACAACATTTTGTACAATATTCAACAAGTGAAGTAAATATCGACCAATAGGGAATGTACATTTAGCGTCCAAGGACAACATTAGACTTAACATGATAACTATTGGTATATTTCTCTGCACATCCTAACAGTTTCCTAAGCTCTTCTAATAACCCCAGGCTAAATCTGCACGACAAGGTGGACACGAATGAAAAGGTGTGAAGTATAAGAGGAATGCTTTACTTTAATGTTAGTTTATGTACAGAAAATCGAGGGCATTTATATTATCACAAATGACCTTGGACTTCTTCAAGGTTCTGAAACCATGCTAAACATAGTAGTAGGGTAGGTAATCACCCAATCAGAACTGTGACACGTGACTCTTCATTCTCTAGATGCTTCTGAGAAAATTCTATTCAGCATTAACTGGTAGAAAGGTTTCCCAAAGTTTTCAGAGCCCATCTGAACTTTTTCGAGAAATATTTGGATTCCCGCAACAATTATGCGTTTAGTACGTTCTAATCTCGTATTGCGTGCTATTTCTAACACTACTATATTATCGTCCTGTAGTTGTCTAATTGCCAATTTCTCATAAATAGACATTAATCATTTAAATCAAATGACATTAAATAAGAAAGATTAGTTCAGCGAAGAGGTCTCTTTACGGCGAATTCATTTTCAAAGCTGTACAATCGCAAATATATATACTTATTTTTACAGGGTGATAAAAATACTGATAATAAACTTCTGTTATACATGGTGGCAGTGAGGTTAAATAAACAAACAAAGGTATTAGAAAAAAAATTTAAAACAAGGAAAGTTTGATAGTTAATGGCTTAAGTATTCATCGGGTAAAGATGGCTCAGTATGATAAAATAACATAAAATGTTGAAACAGACATTAAATGTAATGTATAAAAGGTATGTGGATGATATCTTTATCATTTGTGACAACAAATGTAACTTAAGTGATCTCCTAAAGACATTTAATAATTGTCACCTATCAATAAAATTCACACTTGAAGTTGAAAGCAAACAAAATATTCACTTCCTTGATGTAGATAAGACAAGAAAACAAGATGGTACTTTAAAGAGATTTATCTACAGGAAACCCATGTGGAATGGCCAACTATCAAATTTCCACAGTTGGGTTCCCATCAGCCGAAAAAGAAACTTAATAATAACTCTCGCCACAAGAATACGAAGAATCTGTAGCCCCGAGGAAGAATTGAGCTTTTTAAAAGATATACTTATCAAAAACAGATATCCTTCTATATTCATTGATAAGAAAATGAAGCCGAAAATGCCAAAACCACAAACAATTACAGTAGAAAAGAAAATTTTATACATGAACATCGACTTCAAAGGTAATAGAGCCGCATATACCTTAAAGAGGAGAATTTCGGATACTTCAAAAAGAACATTCTTCGCAGCAACATTGCGAATATTATTCTCCAGCCGATCATTGTTCACCAATAATCTGAAAGATAAATTATCGCATCTAACCAACTCAATGTGCATTTACCAATTTACCTGCTCTTGTGGAGCTAGGCATATAGGTCGTTCGATGCGTACTTTATCCAAAAGAATTCAAGAACATTGTCCGGCGTGGCTAAGAAGAGGAGGCAACGGCTCAATAAGAAGTTCTATAGTCGAACACCTTGTGAACACAGGTCATTCACTCAAGACAGACTCTGCATTCAAAGTCATCTACAAGGTAAGTAGAAGTCTTCCAAAGACAATTAGACTGCATCATCTTTGCATTGCCGAGCCAATAGCCATACATCTGGAAAAACCAGAATTTCGTGTGCAAAAGAGACTGGTACAACCTCTTCTTAATGTATTAAAATTTTTTTTTCTCTTTCTTCATACTCTTGTTCTTTTACAGCCACTTGCTTCACCTTCCATCTTTCCTTCAAATCTTCTACCCCCAACCGGTTTTTTTTTATTTCCGATTACATTTCAACTCTGTTTCAACATTTTATGTTATTTTATCATACTGAGCCATCTTTACCCGATGAATACTTAAGCCATTAACTATCAAACTTTCCTTGTTTTAAATTTTTTTTCTAATACCTTTGTTTGTTTATTTAACCTCACTGCCACCATGTATAACAGAAGTTTATTATCAGTATTTTTATCACCCTGTAAAAATAAGTATATATATTTGCGATTGTACAGCTTTGAAAATGAATTCGCCGTAAAGAGACCTCTTCGCTGAACTAATCTTTCTTATTTAGTGTCATAATGGGTGTATTCCGTTTATTAAATCAAATGAAGCGTGATATATAATTAAACTTACCGCCGCCATCCCCGCCCCCCCAAAAAAGAAATTCTAAGTTACACTACTACTTATGAATTGTTCCATAAAAAGAATGATAAATAATAATATTTACTTTTGTCAACATTTGGAATATAAAACGTGTGTGGTGTTTACCTAATCATAATTATTTTATATAAAAGATGAATAATGACCTAGTTAGTTAATTAATAGAAACTAGGAAATATTCACGAAATTGCCATATTTTTGATAAACTGCTCTCGCTCTTACTATCCCTATGTCTGTCTCTCCACAGAAGAAAATTTCTGGAAATAAGGTGACCAAAAACAAACTAAATTTTGGTTTTCACTTGCTTTTATTCCGAGATTTAATGGTATGGAAACAACAAATGTAAAACCAATCTTTGTACTAAGAATAGGTATCTTATTAAAGGCTTTAACAAATACATGAACAAGAGATGATAGCGACTATTCTCAAGTGATCGTTTAAAAAAGGGTGCAGAATGTAATATATTACTGCAACGGTTAAAAAAGGTTGTACAGCAAATGTTCGCTGAACATCAAACTGAATGCGTTTCTTGTCTATAATCGTCTGATAGTGAATATCGGTAACAAAGACAAATTCTTGAAATTCCCTACATTGATGTATGCTATACATATTCAACTGATCCAATAGTGGCTGTTATCAAGACCGATCAATATACTGCACTTTCATAACACTTATAATCAATAGAAAAGAAGAATGATAGAAAGAAATACAATACAATTGCAAAGAAGATAACATGACATTCTCCCAATATACTCACATCATTTGAAGTATTTTGACTCAATTGTGTATCCAATTTTGAATAAATAAGGCGGTTTTTTTCTCTAAACAATTCGTCGATCCTGATTTGTAGGTTGATGATGATAGAGATGAAGTATGAATGAATTCATTCAAAGTAAAAGGATCTATTAAAACCATAGAAGATTGGTTTGCTGACGAGTAAACAGATAAAGTGGTCGATGGAGAGTGGGCTGAACTTGAATTAACCAGCAGTCTTGAAGATATTGATTCTTTATGACTATATAGTGTCAAAAGATCAAGAAATTGTGTAACATATCGACCAATTAAAAGAAAGCAAACAATGAACAATATAAACAGAAGTTGACAGACTATGCTACTATTCACCAAAGGTGGAGGTTGGTAATTGAAGTTAAAATTAGTTGTGTGTCAAAACAGCTAGATTTAAACAAGTGGAAAGATTTTCCTCCTTTTTAATAATAAGACTTTGGATAATAACCATGGGGACAAACAAGCAAATCAGTAATCTCGATTATTTACGAATGTATTTGAACCAATAATTAGCTATATAATGATAATTGTATATCTTTTTAAAATAACCCGTACAGAAATGTCATTTAAATCGAGATGTCACTTTTTTACTTAAGTATATCACAGATTGAAATCATGAGTCAGTTGAAGCTAGACCACCATTGAAAACCTGGAAGCACTGGACGGCCGTTTCATCCTAGTACGGGACTCCTCAGCAGTGCGCATCCACGATCCCGCCTACCGAGAAATTCGAACCCAGGATCTATCAGTCTCGCGCGCGACCGTTTAACCATTAGACCACTGAGCCGGCATCCAACGGTGTTAATGTCTAACTTCAACCAATCCACGAAGTTGCGCCACCGTACACCATTGTCTTCAGTGAGTTCCTATCTCACAACAGACCTGGTTGAACTCCACTAATAACGGCTTCTCACTAGAACTTCGGGAGATTTTCCTGAAGTCAGTCACCAGTGAGCAGTTAATTATTATCAGAATGGGTTTTGTGGAGATTTTAAAAATTTCACAGATTGAAATCATGAGTCAGTTGAAGCTAGACCACCATTGAGAACCTGGAAGCGGGATCGTGGATGCGCACTGCTGAGGAGTCCCATACTAGGATGAAACGGCCGTCCAGTGCTTCCAGGTTTTCAATGGTGGTCTAGCTTCAACTGACTCATGATTTCAATCTATGAAATTTCTAAAATCTCCACAAAATCCATTCTGACTTAAGTATATGTTAAAAAGTGAGAATTTGCTAGAAAAAAAGTTCAAAAATACTCCACAAGGCATACTGGATGATGATAGTTATCATTATTCTAAACATTTGCTTTGAAAGTCTTAGACTAAATTGCATGTCTAATGTAATGTCTATGTAATAGAATGCATCGAAATTTGTCTATTACTTTAAAATCCAATAAATACACTACACAATATAGTATCTTACAAAATATTTATAAGATATTATCGTCGCAAAATAATACGACAGTAATAATGATTATAAGGATAACAGTAGTTATCGTTTTAAGTCATATATATATATATATATATATATATATATATATATATATATATATATATATATATATATATATATATATACAGCTCAGATGATGTAAAAGATGAATTTCACAGAAAGCTTTCTGACCTTCTCCGAAAAGCTAGGCGCTCTGATGTAGTAATAGTGGCTGGTGACTTTAATGCTCAAGTAGGTAAACTAAGAGAAAGGGAAAGACACCTGGGTGGATCTTATAGTGTCGTTGCTCAAAGAACAGGTAATGGCGACCGTCTGTTGCAGCTATGCTCAGATAACCGCCTGTTTCTTGCAAATACTAACTTTAAGCATAAGCAAAACTATCTTTTAACATGACGACCCCCTAATTCGTCCCAATGTTGGACTCAAATAGATCACATCGCTATCAGCCACTGATGGAGGGGCTCGATAGAAGACTGTCGCTCATTCTGGAGCATATACTTAGATTCAGATCATGCTCTAATGCGAGCGCGTATTTTCCTGCGTCTTACTGAACGTAGGAAAGATGCTGCAAGGAAACCTCTTAGGGTCCTACTTAATGACAGTCAAGCTAAGAGTATATTTCAGGAAAAACTAGTAAAACATTTAGGCAGCCATGTATGTGATGCCCACCCCGAGGCAGCATGGAATGATATCCGAAAAGCTGTGGAAACAGCAGTGATATCTGCTAGTATGGTAAAACACAAGATTTCTTCTGGTTGTACCTGCCCGTTTCCCCATTATTATTATTATTATTATTATTATTATTATTATTATTATTATTATTATTATTATTATTATTATTCTATTTTTCTTTCACGCTCCTTACCTTTTTTTCCTTAAGGATGGTGGTCCAGTATTAGCAGTGAGATTAACTGAGGTCTTAGGTAGAATTTGGGAACTGGACGCAATCCCATCTGACTGGTCTCAATCACTGATTGTGCCAGTCTATAAGAAAAGAAAAAAGTCCTCTTGTGACAATCACAGAGGAACCAGTCTGACTAATATTGTGTCTAAAATATTAGCTTCAATAATACTTCGACGCTTAACCAAAGCTCATGAAGAACAGACTAGAGAAAATCAGGCTGGTTTTCGACCTGGACGTAGTTGTATAGATCAGATATTCACACTACGTCAGGTTCTAGAACACAGACACACATCCAGGTGCCCCACAATCGTAGTATTTCTCGACCTTAAGGCAGTGTTTGTCACTGAAAGGAGTACCAAAGAAGTTTATTAACCTTGTAAAGGCTCTACTCAAACACAACTGGTAGAGTGAGAAATTATGACGAACTGTCATCAGAATTGATAACCCAAATTTGTGTTCTTCAGGGCTGTCCACTCTCTCCTTTCTTGTTTAACTTTGTCGTTGACGTGCTTTTAGAGATAATATCCTGAGAGTCTCATCAGCCATTGTGGTATAGTGTGTGACGAAATCTCAGCACGGATACAGACGGTTCGACTAGCTTTTGCCAACTTGCGTCATTTATGGAGCAGGCGAGATATCCATCTATCAACGAAAGGACGTGTTTACTGAGCAGCAGTTTGTTCCAAATTTATGGCAGTGAAACATGGCCGGTAAGAGTAAAGGATATTCGTACGTTACTAGTATTTGATCATAGGTGTCTTCGAAATATTGCTCGTATATCCTGGGACCATCGAGTAAGTAACGCAGTTGTTAAGAAACGGGTACTAGGTACGGAAGGCAAATCAGTTGAGGAAGTAGTAAAACTTTATCAGTTGAGATGGCTGTGACATGTTTTACGTACGTCCAACCACTGAATGCCCCGACGTGCGATGTTTTATGGTGTAGGAGTATGTTGGAACAAAGCTAGGGGCGGCCACAACAAAACGTGGCACAAATCCATGAATTCACAGAGTCATGTTGGTAGGTGTAGACTACCTGATTGAGATCCGCGAGACGATAGCAACCGATGGTTAGAGACCCTGAATGACATGGCTCAAAATCGTTTGCAATAACGCAGGTGCATCTACTCTTTGTGCTCTCCCAAATTCTAATCTTCTGAATTCTCCTTGTCTCTCTTTTCTCTTTCCAAATTTATTTCACTGGGTTATACTCCTTGAATAACATCTTCAAACGCTAATCTTTCTGATTACTCTCACTACCTCTCCCACTACGGGATTTGAATCGACAACTACATCTCTGCCCTAATGTGGTATAGCAACGCGAACTGATGTACGTACGTATGAAGTTCTACGTTGTTACTGACTGGCTGAACAAGAGCAGAAAATGCTAAGGCACAAGCTGAATACACAGAAGTAAACAAGCAAGTGTAGAGGAACATCGGAACCGACAAAGGTAAGTATGTGAAAGATCTAGCAGTGACGACGAAAAGGGATGCACGAGAAGGAAACATGAGACAATTGTATGATACAACAAAGAAACTCTCTGGAAATTATCGTAAACCAGAACGACCAGTAAAAAGCAAGAAAGGCGAAGTAATAACCAACATTGAAGAGCAACGAAACAGGTGGGTAGAACACTTCAAAGAACTCTTGAATCGACCAACCCAACTGAACCCACCAAACATCGAAGTAGCACCCACGGACCTGCTGGCCCACCAATAATTGAAGAGATCAGCATGGCCATCAGACAAATCAAGAGTGGCAAAGCAGCAGGGACAGACAACATTCCAGCAGAGGCAATGAAAGGAGATGTAGCAGTAACTGCAGAGATACTCCACATTCTCGTCAGCAAGATTTGGGATGAAGAACAAGAACCGACAGACTGGAAAGGACACCTGATCAAGATACCAAAGAAAGGTGATCTCAGAAATTGTGATAACTGTAGGGGCATCACTCTTCTCTCAATACCAGGAAAAGTCTTCAACAGAGTATTGTTAAACAGAATGCAGGACGCCCAACTGCGTCACAAGACAAGCCTTCACATAGAATACTCAAGGCCAAAGGAAAAGAGGAAGACGAAGGAACAAATTACGTTGAGAAATGGAGACGGACATGAGAAAAATGAACAAGAATTGGATGGAACTAGAAAAGAAGGCCCAGGACAGAGTGGGTTGGAGAATGCTGGTCGGCGACCTATGCTCCATTGGGAGTAACAGGCGTAAGTAAGTAAGTAAGTAAGTAAGTAAGTAAGTAAGTAAGTAAGTAAGTAAGTAAGTAAGTAAGTAAGTAAGTAAGTAAGTAAGTAAGTAAGTAAGTAAGTAAGTAAGTAAGTAAGTATGTAAGTAAGTAAGTAAGTAAGTAAGTAAGTAAGTAAGTAAGTAAGTAAGTAAGTAAGTAAGTAAGTAGTAAGTAAGTAAGTAAGTAAGTAAGTAAGTAAGTAAGTAAGTAAGTAAGTAAGTAAGTAAGTAAGTAAGTAAGTAAGTAAGTAAGTAAGTAAGTAAGTAAGTAAGTAAGTAAGTAAGTAAGTAAGTAAGTAAGTAAGTAAGTAAGTAAGTAAGTAAGTAAGTAAGTAAGTAAGTAAGTAAGTAAGTAAGTAAGTAAGTAAGTAAGTAAGTAAGTAGGTAAGTAAGTAAGTAGTAAGTAAGTAAGTAAGTAAGTAAGTAAGTAAGTAAGTAAGTAAGTAAGTAAGTAAGTAAGTAAGTAAGTAAGTAAGTAAGTAAGTAAGTAAGTAAGTAAGTAAGTATGTAAGTAAGTAAGTAAGTAAGTAAGTAAGTAAGTATGTAAGTAAGTAAGTATGTAAGTAAGTAAGTAAGTAAGTAAGTATGTAAGTAAGTAAGTAAGTAAGTAAGTAAGTAAGTAAGTATGTAAGTAAGTAAGTATGTAAGTAAGTAAGTAAGTGAGTAAGTAAGTAAGTAAGTAAGTAAGTAAGTAAGTGAGTAAGTAAGTAAGTAAGTAAGTAAGTAAGTAAGTAAGTAAGTAAGTATGTAAGTAAGTAAGTATGTAAGTAAGTAAGTAAGTAAGTAAGTAAGTAAGTAAGTAAGTAAGTAAGTAAGTAAGTACGTAAGTAGGTAGGTAAGTAAGTAGGTAAGTAAGTAAGTACGTAAGTAAGTAAGTAAGTAAGTAAGTACGTAAGTAGGTAGGTAAGTAAGTAGGTAAGTAAGTAAGTAAGTAAGTAAATAAGTAAGTAAGTGAGTAAGTAAGTAAGTAAGTAAGTAAGTAAGTAAGTAAGTAAGTAAGTAAGTAAGTATGTAAGTAAGTAAGTATGTAAGTAAGTAAGTAAGTAAGTAAGTAAGTAAGTAAGTAAGTAAGTAAGTAAGTAAGTAAGTAAGTAAGTAAGTACGTAAGTAGGTAGGTAAGTAAGTAGGTAAGTAAGTAAGTAAGTAAGTAAGTAAGTAAGTAAGTAAGTAAGTAAGTAAGTAAGTAAGTAAGTAAGTAAGTAAGTAAGTAAGTGGATTATTATGATTTTTATTTTAATTATGAAACACTTTGTAAAGATGCATACAATTATCAAGTATTAACTCTTATTTCATCCCACACAATTCTCTTTTTTTTAAAAACTGAATAGTCTTTAATCAACAAAAAAGAGCATTGAAATCCTTTCTTTATTCCTGTTTTCTCTTATCAACATTAATCGGAAAGAAGATATTTCAATTCAAATGAAGTTAAACTTTTATTTAGAAATAATCATTAACAACTTTCTTTTGGATTTCTGTTAATGGCAATCTCATTTCCCAGTTTCTTTTGTTCCATTTATTAACTTACTATTTATAATGAATTAGTTTCTTGTCAATATAACAATATAACAACTTATTATATATGTATAATAAATTAGTTTACATTTACAGTTTATACATGAACGATTAAAATGTTCACTCTTATGTTAAAATTAATGCGTTCATTTAAATTTCTACACATCTTCATTGTAAATGGTTGTTTGTCGTCAGAATTCACATTGTATTCATAAATTTTATTACCAAATAGCAAAACGATAATTTCAATTTGATTTGTGATAAGCATTTTAAAAAATTTGCAGTTTTTTTAGATTACATAATTTTATCATCTAGTAAACAATATAGCATAATCATTGTTTTTTAATTTAATCTAAAATGTATTGAGTGAAAAAAAGTTCTCGTTTTTTTAAGGAAAGACTTATGACCTGAGTTGACCACATTATGATCCGATTTGATTTGGATAATCCAGTTTTGCCATATAGAAAATGAGACTAAGTGGTAGGTGGACATGGAATTCTGTTTAAGATCAGTCCTTAATGTAAATTATACAGATATTAAAAGTACCGCAAAATCTCATACTGATAATAATCATGTGCTTGCTAGGGACTAACTTTGAGATGCCATTCTCGGAGTTCTAGTGAGATCCCATGATCGTGTACGCTGTGAGGCAGTTATCCAGTGAACTTAGTGGGGGGGATAGTCGAACAATAATGTGAATTGACTAAAGTTAGGCAAGTAAACGATTGAGTGCCAGTTCACCGATCTTCAGGTTAAGGGCTCATAGGGAGAGCGACGGTTCTGGGTTCGATTTCCTGTGGCAGCATTGTCGATGAGTACTGCTGAGGAGTCCCATATACAAGATGGAAATAGGTGTCCAATGTTTTGCGGTTTTCAATAGTTGCCTAGCTAATATAATTCCGTGATGTGAACTATGAAAATTTCATTTAATCAATGAAAAGAAAGTATGAGCTGGTCTATGCAATAATATTTACACACAATTTCAGATTTACATTTAATGGAAATAATAATAATAGTGTATTCTTGCATAGAAATACACTTTTTACAGTTCTATTACTATAACAGTTCATTTTGAATGTACAGATCGTAAACAAATACATAAAAAGGCAGAGAATACTAATAAACTCACAGAATTGATTGAGTATCATTGGATGTTACTGGACTTGTTGTCATAACCTCACTCAGTTGAGTAAACCAAGGTATCTACAAAAAAGGTATACACATAAAAATTAAGGAATATGATACTGATGACAAAGCAAGTCTGCTTAAAAGTTTATATGATAATGGACGGGTGGATGAGGGATAATTATTTCAAAATTCCGTAGAATGCATTAAAGAAAACTAAAAAAACTTCTTAAAATAGATGAATGAGGACTATGAGTGAAATCTATAACGAACATTTCGTTATAATTGGCCCTTGTCAACTAGATGCAGTAGCACTCAAGTGCTGATGTTTACACCAAGACTCGAACCCGGTATCTCTCATTTCAAACACTAACGAGATATCTAATGAGCTACAGAGTACAGATAGCAACTAACAAGTCCAACAAGTTTGATGTTTCCATCCTTATTGAGAGAGTTTTGAATCATCCCGTTGTTGATATCCAGGACTGAAATTCGATCAGTCTTCACTGGGGTACGATACATCCACTTCATCTTATCTTTTAGCACAGATCGACTGTGATTATCAGTAGAGTTAAATAACTCAAAACTGTAGTCACACTGAACAAATAACTAAAATCTAAACTACCTAATAGAGAGTTCGGACCCAGTTTTATATAAATCTGCTTTAACAACTGGATGATATTATAAACTCTGAGTTGATAGGACGTACCGATTTCTCAGAATAGTTCATCTTGCATTTTGAATGTTTGAATAGATGAGAACGAACTTCATGAATTTTAATTGACGAAAATACAACAAAAATCCAAACTATGAAATAAAGCATAATTATTTGGTGATAATGTTAAACAAACCTTTATGACACCGAGTTCATTTAAACGGATTTATGTATGTGCCAGGTTCTAAGTTGCTTATGAATAGCCAGTCAAATAAAATTATTAAAAACGTAATTTCAAAATTAAGATCAACTAGTCAAAATATGTACATAAGTGGTGATAAGACAACTGGAGAAAACAGACAATCGGATAATTCACATTCTTCAAAACAAGTATGCTTTTAAAAAACAATACAAACATCTGTAAAGGTCAGAATTTTTATCATTTATCGTTATACTCTATTGAGTGTATCCGAGTACATCATCTGATAACACACTTCCTGTTAAGTAATAATGATACTGAGAAAACTGAAAGCTAAGGGGAAGATGATTAGATCCGAATTATTTCGTTAAATTCTGATACTTACAGTTAAACGATCATCGAAACTGTTTGATTGTTCTGTAGGTCGATGACATGGTCTTGTAAGGAGAGCATTTTGTTCAAATTTACCATGATTAGTAATGTTAGTCTTATGATGATGTTGATAAAATGTAGTATGGGGAGATAATTTCCCCATTCCAGATTTTTCTGGTTTGGATGCTGATAAAAAACTTTCATTACACAAATTATATTCTGATATGGATGGTTCATCATAAATATTATTATTACTGGTACAAGCTGATGCATCAATATATATATATATATATATATATATATATATATATATATATATATATATATATATATATATATATATATATATATACAGTATATATACAATATATATATATACAGTGGAAATTGTCGTTCATTTGCTAAAAAGTAATAATGGCAAATGTACGGTATATACATATGTATATTTATTTAAATTGAAGAAAGCAAGTATAAAAATATTTTGAAAGTTTACAGATCAAGGTAATTCTCAAGAAAAGTTGTTAGCATTTAAGCACAAGATCGAAAGTCCTGGGTTTAATAATCGGAAGCAGAGATTTCAAGCGCATTTCTGAGGAGTTGGTACATACTAGGATGAAACAGCCATCCACTTATTCCAGGTTTTGAATGGTGTTCTAACTAAGATCAGTTCTTGATTTTAAAACTATGAAGATCCTATCATTTCTATAAAACTTTAGACTCATATTTGCCTAAGTCGAAGAAAGCAGATCGAAAAACATCATTAAAGTTTACGGATCGAGGTAATTCTTATGAAAAACTGTTGAAATCAATTTTTCATGAAACTTTCCACGTTTTTCGTACGCAAAAGTTACTTATTTATGTAAAAATTGTCCGCATAAAGAACTCTTAAGTATATTTAATGCAAATTGTACGTTTAATTACTTAAAGAATGAATCGTGAAGGATGGATTAAATCTTTTGATAATTAGTAATGTTAACTAGTATTTCAAAAAGTAGGCCGAAACAATATTTCAATTTTTGATAAAGAATTAGTTGAACACAGAATTTTCTGCTTATACTGTGACAAATTAATTGCCGGTAGAAGGTTTGACCGGTAAGATCAGTAGTTTGTTAGGTGATAAAATATCGATATGTTCATGAAATGTGATGTATACGTAGTGAAATATTTAGTTGTTCTCCGTTAAAATTGTTAAACACCACACCACTAAATAAAAATAAGGCAAAAGATGTATAATGCTGTAAATATTTAATTGTTAGATGCTCTTTTCACTAAGTTGTTTAATTTAGCTGAATCATCAAGTCAACACTTTAAGTAAATTCAATAGATATTTTTTAGTAAAATTTCATTGACTCAAAGATTAGAATACGCAGTACAGAACAGTGATATTGAATGAAAAAGAGACACATTGGAATAATTTACATCGTCGATGAACTAAATATACACAGACCCAATAGTGATTATTAGGTTTCAACAAAATAACACTCTTTCTTTATCGAACTTAGATATCAATCGACTTTTTCCTCTCAAAACCAATCATCTGCATTCAACTAAAAAGTGATAATATTTTTGGACTATCGAAAAGGGGAACTCCACCTGTAGTTCTTCAAGGGTTACTGCCGGTCTCAAGCTCGGCAAAAGAGGAGGGTTGGGCGTGGGGTTGACAACTCCATCCAATAGAAAACAACATTTCTAAGAAAACGCTAACCAGAATAAACGATTTAAACCACTTAAACTCTGACATCCGAGTTGAAGAGAGAATTATGACGAATTATGATGAAATCCGAGATTCCACAAAAGTCACGAAACAGATGCTCTTTCTAACAACAAGAGCAACAACTTACATAGGTACAAGGAACGTCCGGATAATGTGGGAAACCAAGAGGACCAGTCAAGCAACAAACAATACAAATTCAATAAATAAAATGAATTGTTTAAACACTGAGGTATATATATATATATATATATATATATATATATATATATACTGAAGGTAAATACTACTACTACTACTACTACTACTACTACTACTACTACTACCACGGCAAATTCTAACCAACACATGTTTACAAATAAGAGTTGGGAGAGATTCTGCTGTGCTCTGGTCACGAAGAACAAAATGCTTAACACACTCAAAAGTCGTTCTGATGCTGTTCAAAGAAGCACGAAATGCACCTATAGGGTGGGAGTCTCATGGACGCAGGATGATCAAATTATCCTTCGAAAAAGAGAACGAGGTAATCACAACGCCACATGAATCTCACTGGACCACACCACAGAGAACCAGATAGATGATATTTGCATCAGTAAAAAATTCACAAGGTCAATGGAAGAAGTGAGAACCAGGAGAGGAGCTGACACAGCTTCAGATCACCACCTGGTGATTGCCAATTTAAAACTGAAGCTAGAGAAGCATTGGACAACTGGACAAACAGCATTACACAGGTTCAATACAGCCTTCCTTCGACAAACTCAACAAATTCAAGATAAATCTCAACAACAGGTTTCAAGCCTTACAGGATTTACTGAAAGAAGAAGAAACTACTACGGAGGACAACTGGGAATGGATCAAAGAAGCACTAACCTCAATGTATTAGGAGGTTCTGGGTCTCAAGAAGCATCATCATAAGGAATGCACCTCTATAGAAACGCTGAACAAGATCAAAGAAGGGAAGAACAAGAAGACAGTAATTAACAACAGCCGAACGCGAGCAGAGAAGGTCCAAACACAAGCTGAGTACATAGAAACAAACAAGTAAGTGAAGAAGAGCAGTAGAGCCGACAAGCAGAAATATGTGGAAGAACTAGCAACGACAGAGGAAAAAGCTGCAAGATAAGGAAATATGAAACAACTTTATGATACAACGAAGAAACTAGCAGGGAGATATAGTAAACCAAAGAAACCGGTCAAGGACAAAGAAGGTAGGCCAATCACTGAAGTTCAAGAACAGCGGGACAGATGAGTAGAGTACTTCGAGACCAGCCCCACTGAACCCACCGGATATCGAAGCAGCACACACAGACCTTCCCATAGATGTCCCACCGCCAACGATCGAAGAAATCAGGATGACCATCAGACAAACCAAGAGTAGGAAAGCAGAAGGACCCGACAACATACCAGCTGAAGCACTGAAGTCAGACATGGAAGTAACTAGAAACATGCGTCACCTTCTATTCAGGAAGAGTTGGGAGGAGGAACAAGTGCCGACAGACTAGAAAGAAGGATACCTCATCGCGATACCAAAGAAAGGAGATCTGAGCAAATGTGAAAACTACAGAGGAATCACACTATTGTCAGTACCAGTAAAGGTTTCCAACAAGGTGTTGCTGAACCGGATGAAGGACTCAGTAGACACGCAACTTTGCGATCAACAGGCTGGATTCCGTAAGGATCGGTCGTGCACAAACCGAATTGTGACACTATGGATCATCGTCGAACAATCAATTGAATGGAACTTGTCACTACACATCAACATCCTTGATTATGAGTAAGCATTTCACAGTGTGGATGGGAGAACATTATGGAAACTTCTTCGATACTATGGAGTACCTGATAAAATCGTCAACATCATTCGGAATTCATACGACGGACTTCAGTGCAAAGTCGTGCATGGAGGACAGCTGACAGACGCACCCCAAGTGAGGACCGGAGTCAGACAAAGCTGTTCACTCTCGCCCTTTATTCTTTCTTCTGGTAGTTGACTGGATTACGAAGACCTCTACACCACAGAGGAAGCACGGAATAAAATGAACAGGTTGGATGCAACTAGACAATTCGGACTTCACGGATGACGAAGGTCTTCTGTCCCATACACATCAACAAATGCAGGTCGAGACAAACAGTGTAGCAAAAGGGAAAAAGCAAGATCCTCAAATACAATACAAAGAACACCAAACCAATCACACTTGATGGAGAAACTGTGGAAGAGGTGGACATTTTCACGTATCTGGGTAACATCATCGATGAACGTGGATGATCTGATGCATATGTCAAGGCGAGGATTGGGAAAGCAAGGGCTGCATTCCTTCAATTGAAGAACATATGGAACTCAAAACAACTGTCAACCAATATCAAAGTCAGAATCTTCAATACGAATGTCAAGACAGACCTATTGTACGGAGATGAAGCGTGGAAAACTACTACAATCATCATCAAGAAGGTACAAGGATTTATAAACAATTTTCTACGCAAGATACTCAATGTCCGTTGGCCGGATAGCATCAACAATAGCCTACTGTGGGATAGGACAAACCAAGTTCCTGCTGAGGAAGAAATTAAGAAAAGACGTTGGGAGTGGATAGGACACACATTGTGGGAACCATTAAACTGCACCAAGAGGCAAGCTCTAACTTGAATCATGAAGGGAAATGAGAACGAGGGAGACCGAAGAACACAGTGCGTCGGGAATTGGAAGCAGACATTAAAAAAATTGCCCAGGACAGATAGAGAATACGGGTGAGCGGCCTATGCTCCTCCATGGGAGGTAACAGGCGTAAGGAAAACAGTTTAAGTATTGTAAAGGGTGTCTACCTCAAATCACAATCATAATAAATAAGAGATATAAGGTTAGTATCTGTTTGCTTGTTGGACAGTTAACTTTAAAGAAAATACCGAGCAACTAAATGGATCAGTATTATTTCATCAGTATAAAACTATTATATAGATATTAGGATAAAGACAAGTTAGTACAGTTAACTTAGAAAATCGATAGGAATTAAGTTAGAGTAATGGCTTAACCACTAAATAGGTTTATTTTAATTATCAGAACACAGGTCTGGATCCTGTTCCATTTATTTCAATTCACATCACCAAGTAATAACATTGGTTCTTTTTTCTAATAGGCATACAGGAAACATACAGCTCAAAGCCAAGTACATAATTTTATACTTGTGATATCACTATGCGAAGTTATTAACTGGTAGATTCAGACAACGTGATTGGAATCCGCGCAATCACAAAATATTTATACTTCTTATTTCACACATTCATTCTTCGCGAATCATTTTATCTATGATGCTTAATCTTTTCTACCATTAATAATACTATTACCATACATTTTTTTTACTAATCCGTCATTTCTCTTAATAATTTCATCTCACTATACCGAAAGGTGTGGCAACTTGATTGCCGATATATGCTAGTTTTTTACGTTGCCTATACCGGAAACTTGTGTTCATGTTAAGATAAATTTACACGAAGAGTGAATGACAGAGAATAAAATAGTACGAACATATGAAAAACCAAACTTCACTTACTGGGTACTGAACGATTTTTGTACAATAAATTATAATCATTTGGCGGATTAGGGAAACTATCTGAAATTTTATCACCATTACTATTATTAATAATTTGACGAATAGTATTACTTTGATATTTCAATTTTCTATTGTAATCTGAATGAATAATGTTACGAATATTGGAGCAATTCGTGTCGATGCTTAATTTCATATCAATGTGAACATTAGGAGGGGTATGAGAAGAAGCGTTATTGATACATGATGGTTTTGGTAACTGAAGGTGTTTTAATTGTGTAACACTTGAATTATTATTATTTTTAGTATCGTTTTTTGACTGAGTAAACGATCTTAGCGTTGAATCCTAAACAGGTAATAACAGGAAAGTATACAGTAGAAATTTCATTAAAATGGGAAAAGGAATTATGTTTTATAGTTAATTATAACAATTTCGATTCACTCACAAGTGATCAAATTTGAGGAAAGTTAGGATTTCTAAAAATAAGACGCTATGACCGATTGGTTAATCTAAAGTAAGGAAAATGCAACAGGTATCATTGATAATATAAAGTGATAAATTGCGTGATGAATCATAGATCAACTAAAGTTGAAAATACGAAGCACCGATAGATTCCAGTTCAGTGAGTTTGTTATAACTGTGGGAAAGCTGGGCTTAGAGCAACAGGAAATTACTGAGATTTGTACGATGTAGATGACAAATGAAAATATTATTCAACCTACGAATTTCAGGACAAAATAAACGTCAGATCATGTTTTAATTTAATGTTTTATTTGTTCAGTATAACATTTAGTTACATAATTCTAGAGTAAAATCCAGCTGTATTTCGATTATTTCAGTTACAAACATTCGCTGCCAGTAAAACCTGTATATAATAGAGTGTATTTGATTCATGTTATTGTCATATAAAATCTTCATTTGATAACAGTTTTTATTTCATTCCTTACATTAAGGAAATCTGTTTCCCTCGGTTTCAATTTCAGTTTTAATAGGGAAATAGGACTCATGCCCTCCATAAGACTTCATTGTTTGAGACTCGACCCCTTGATGGAGTACATACTATAGAGATGTACTAAACAAGGATGAACAAGGTATTCTCAGTGCTTTATAATTGTTCTCTTCCAATTTACTCCTACAACAGTAAATATTGCAATTCGACGTTAGCGGTAATAATAATTTGGAGATAACCAAAAGAAATTAGAAGGAAAGCATACGCCTAGATAGATAGCGTTTTCTGAAATAGGGAGCATACACTTTTAGATTGCATAGAATAGAATATATTCTGAGATGTGAAAACAGTGTTACACCATTCCAAGATATGGGGTATTACGTAAAGATGTAGTAAATCTTTATCGATTGAAGTGGTCGGGGCACTTATTATATTTCCCCATCCACCAACTTAACTGAACCATGTAGGTAAATGCAAACTAACTGGTTTAGATTCGTTGCAATTATCGTAACCAGTGTGATTGCAAATGTTAGATGATGTAGCTTAGAATCATTCACAAGCGCATAGGGGCATTCGTTCTTTGTCTATCCTTGAATATTGGGTTCCGAAATCTTATACTTTTTCATTCTTTATATACTTACTTTTTCCTGCAGGTACATCCAGCTGACGAGTCCCAAATGGGACTAAACGCGAGTCCTGGATTCCACTGCTAGCCACTATCCATATTTGCTTATAAAAACTAGTGAATTAAGGCAATATCGAAGCATACGCACAGTATTCACATATGCCAATAACAGACTGATCAATTGCAGTCTTAAACCTCAATGGGAAGATACAAGCAAAAACAATAACAAGTGAACTATTCATATTACATTGTAATTTGTTTAGATAATTTCATCTCACCGTTATGATGAGATGAGGAAACTTGAATAGAAGCATATATATGCCAAGTTCTACTCTGAATATAACTGAGTGATATCCGATAGATAGAAAAACTATGAAATCTAGGATTTAAACAAATGTTGAAACTACAAAAACTCATTATTGACAGTAGATTAGTGGCGATATCTTTGGTAATTGCTAATAGATACCTAACAAACCTAGATATAAATAACCAAATCAAAATTAATCCAAGTTCAAATAGCACAAACTGAACAACAAGAATATTATCAGAAGGGGTTTGTGGAGGTTTTTAGAAATTTTCACAGATTGAAATCATAAGTCAGTTGAAGCTAGACCACCATCGAAAACCTGGAAGCACTGGACGGCCGTTTCATCCTAGTGTGGGACTCCTCAGCAGTGCGCATCCACGATCCCGCCTACCGAGAAATTCGAACCCAGGATCTATCAGTCTCGCGTGCGACCGTCTAACCATTAGACCACTGAGCCGGCATCCAACGGTGTTAATGTCTAACTTCAACCAATCCACGAAGTTGCGCCACCGTACACCATTGTCTTCAGTGAGTTCCTATCTCACAACAGACCTGGTTGAACTCCACTAATAACGGCTTCTCATTAGAACTCCAGGAAATGCCTTTTGAAGTCAGTCACCAGTGAGCAGATGATTATTATCAGAAGAGGTTAAGCGCCTGGCGCGAAACTGATAGGTCCTGGGTTCGAATTTCGCGGGAGGCGGGATCGTGGATGCGCACTGCCGAGGAGTCCCACACTAGGATGAAACGGCCGTCCAGTGCTTCCAGGTTTTCAATGGTGGTCTAGCTTCAATTGACTCCTGATTTGAACCAGTGAAATTTCTAAAATCTGCATAAAACCCCTTCTGATAATTTTGATTTAGCTATTTATTTATTCTCTGAAGAAGTGGCTTACACTGTGTCACGAAACGTCAGGAAATCTAATTTTTCAACTCATTAGGAAATTACATATATATTATTCACTTAATCCAACTAAATGTTTGGAGAAAGACTATATTGTGTATGAAGTTATAAAAACCCTACAAGAAATAATAAAGTGGGGCCGGGTGTTAGCTAAACTACTCATGTGTTGAGGCTATTAATAATTATGACGAACCAATAAAAATCATATGAAGATATGTGAGTAAAAATAACACAGATAATAATATTCGACAAACTGAATGATTTATGTGGCGCATATCTACTTGGTGCCTTCTTGTACCTATGTTTATATGTTTAAATAAATAAAAATTGCACGTATAGTTCTGGTTTATTAATCTGAGTGGTTGTTGTCTCATCCCGTCTGAAGGTCTTTAAGTCATACTGACTTTAGCAGAAAATTACTAACCCGATAAATTATTGAAAGCTATTGAATTGTACTGGCGCTGTGACAAATTTGCACTAGATGGGTTAGTATTGAGTTGCTTACTGCCTTGACTTCATCTTTGCTTAGCTACATTGAAAGGTCCCGACCGTTGTTGGTGTTTCCTTCAGACAACCAGCATGACAGCGATGCTGTCTTCCCACAAGGAGGAGTGGGGTTAGAAAAGGTCGATCCTAAAAATGCACACCTCGCCTTATCTCACGGATATCCGTCTCCGGTGGTAAGGTCTCAACAAGTACGGATCTAACACAAAAATCACCCATGAAAAGGTCGTGTGTGACCGACCTCAAGCAGTTGTCCCTTGGGCACTGCGGTCACGCTCCCAGGTCACTAAGACCACCTCTAATCCAATTTCTTTTTCAGGTACCTCCAGAACAACCCTTCCACGGTGTGGACAACCGGGAAGTGATAACCGCCCTCATACCTCTAACAGCATTCAAGACCACTGTATTCATAATCACTTCCTATTATTCCTCCTACATCGACTTTCACCTCTAAACTTCCTCTTTCGGCTTCCCCCTCAAGTGTCACCATAGCCAACGATTCTAGTGCTCAAAACACTGTCCTAGGTCTACTGAAACCTCGCTCCAAATTACACATTGAAGCCTTCAACGTACGCACCCTATGTCAAATCGATCAACAGGCTTCCTTGGCTAGTACCCTAGAATCTCGTACCATTGATGTATGCTGTGTCTCTGATACACGCATACAGGATCCCAGTATGGTCATTCACTTGACCTCACCTCGCCAAAACGGAGAGCCAGCGAGATACACCCTCCGCGTGTCTGGTGACCCGAAGGCCAGCTCTCGTGGACTGGTAGGAGTAGGGATAGCACTAAGCATGAGGGCGGAACAAGCACTGTTAGAGTTGATCCCCGTTAACAGTCGTCTATGTGCTGTTTGGATAAACGGCTCCGTAAGAACTCGGAAGGATAGGGACACACGTCGTTGCCTTTTTGTCGTTTCTGCCTACGCTCCCATTGATTGCGACTCAGATGAAGTGAAATATGAATTTTACAGAAAGCTATCTGAACTTCTTCAGAAAGCGAAACGTTCAGACATAGTACTCGTAGCTTACTTACTTACTTACACCTATTACTCCTAATGGAGCATAGGCCGCCGACCAGCATTCTCCAACCCACTCTGTCCTCCGCCTTCTTTTCTAATTCCATCCAATTCTTGTTCATTTTTCTCATGTCTCTTTCCATTTCCAGGCGTAATGTGTTCTTTGGTCTTCCTCTTTCCCTTTGGCCTTGAGGATTCCATGTGAGAGCTTGTCTTGTGACGTAGTTGGGTGCTTTCTTCAATGTGTGTCCTATCCACTTCCAGCACTTCTTTCTGATTTCTTCCTTCGCTGGGATCTGGTTTGTTCTCTCCCACAGTACGTTGTTGCCAATAGTGTCCGGCCAACGGATCCGAAGTATTTTGCGTAGACAACTGTTAATAAACACCTGTATTTTATGAATGATGGCTTTCGTAGTTCTCCAGGTTTCCGCCCCATACAGTAGGACTGTCTTGACATTTGTATTGAAAATCTTGACCTTGGTGTTGGTTGACAGTTGCTTTGAGTTCCAGATGTTCCTCAGTTGTAAATATGCTGCTCTTGCTTTGCTGATCCGCGCTTTCACATCTGCATCAGATCCACCCTGTTCACCAATGATGCTGCCCAAATATGTAAAGGTTTTTACATTTTCCAAATCTTCTCCGTCAATTGTGACTGGATTGGTGCACGCTGTGTTGTATCGGAGAATCTTGCTTTCCCCTTTGTGTATATTGAGACCCACTGCTGCTGAGGCTGCTGCTACACTGGTAGTTTTCTCCTACATTTGTTGTTGCGTTTGGGATAGAAGAGCCAGGTCATCTGCGAAGTCTAGATCGTCCAAATGAATCCTAGATGTCCATTGTATCCTGTGTTTCCCTTCAGATGTTGATGTCTTCATGATCCAGTCGATCACTAGGAGAAAGAGAAAGGGTGAGAAGAAGTAACCTTGCCTGACACCGGTCTTCACTTCGAACGACTTTGTCAACTGTCCTCCATGCACGAATTTGCAATGTAATCCATCATATGAATTCTGTATGATATTGACTATCTTCTGAGGCA